TATATATATATATTTCAGCTTTACTAACTGTAGGGCAATTTGAACAGCAACCTATCCTTGAGACAGACAAAAATATATTATATTCTCCACCAAAACATGGCATCAAGTCGACATAACTGGAATACCAGTAAAGTCACTGCCTGGAAGCTTACTGTGTCGTTGGCACCAAGTAAATATTTTCAGTATCAGTTCGGACACAAATCATTTTTACGGGAAGCTAATATTATGATTTGTAAAAGATCAAGAAACATAAATCTGAGAAGTTGTCTTCAAATGTTGTGTTGCCCCGCAAATAATCCAAACCCTGACTAACAGGAGTTCAGTGCAATTTAAAGAAAAGCTTCACATTTTGTGAACAAAAAAAGCACCACAAGTCACAGGTAATCAATTTTTTACCACTTCAATTTGATGGTTTTACTAGTAACTTTACTTTTTAACAAATAAATTCATGCAGCCCTAGCTTAAAATCCAGTGACTGCCTTTACATCCCAGAGGATCCCAGTTAGGGAGTACAAATTACCCTTGTAATGCCAAAAGGCCACAAATGAAATGAAGCATTAGAAGGGTCTATTGGGACACCAGCTGCATTTTTGGGTTTTTCTGGTTTCATTCTCCATATGTCATTTTGCATCAAAGATGATACAAGATGACATATGGAGAGTAGAGTTGAGCATAGAAGTCTCTGAGATGATTCATCTCACTGTTTGTCCAAGTTCGGACAATAGTGTGTGAACTTTTACATGCAGCTGTTTGTGTCAGTAGGTGGTCAAAGTTCTTCATATCACAAGACTGAACTCATCATTTCATATAATGTATGAAATGATGAGTAATGCCAAAAAACAAATCGATTAGTTACCATTATTTTTTTCCATATAACAACTGAGGAAAACCAAATCTTCTAAACTGCATTTTAAAATGAAAGTCCTATTGATTCTTGAAACCATAGATTTAAACTAGAACCATATCTTGGCCAAAACCTCAAATTGTTTGTAGCTGGCACAAGCACAAACTGAACACGAAACCTGTCAGTTTAAAACTATAGAAATGATTTTAAAACTCCTTTAGGAAGGTAATTCAAGGCASAGAGCAACAAAAGAGTGTGTTGCTTGTTCCCAGACAGCTTCATCTAAATTTTGGAATGAGCACAAACACAATGGGAAGACTGTATGAAAGAAGCATGCAGGTAAGGCCAAGGAAGAGGTCAATGCACCAGGGCAGAAAACTGAAAGCAATATGTATTGAAAGTAGGCATATTCTTGGTTTTCATTTCAAGGGAAATGAAAACCAAATGTGGCGGAAAAAGAATTTATTTTCTGATTCTACTCTAAAAAAAATGGCTAAAGAAAATGAGATTTACATACTGAGAAGCCAATTCTGAAACATCATTGATTCATATTTATGCTGAAATTAGAAGTGCAGTGATTTCAAGAAGATGCTGTGTTTGGTTCCAGGAGTTAAATATACTAAGGTTAAGCATCATTATATTTGATAAGTTTCAATCTAACTTAGGGAATAACTTTTGATCACTATTGTTTGGCATATACAGTATCAAAAAGAAAAAGGACAAATTTCAATGGGTATTTATAATATTATACAAAGAGGAATTAAATACAGTACATGAAAGAATGATTCACAGGGCTGAGAAGTCAAAGAGAAAAATACATGTCTATAAATGTATTCTATTGTGTTCTATTGTTTTCTATGGAATACAGGTTAAACCTTTTTAAAGCTGTTTTTGTTCAAGTTTGCAAACCAGCTTTTAATATTGTATTTATATATAGTTTAATACACCGCCTGGCCAAAAAAAGGTCACACTCTAATATTTCATTGGGCCACCTAGCTTTGATTATGGCACACATCCATTCTGGCATTGTTTCAATAAGCAGCAACCCCACATCATAGTTCTGCCCCCACAGGCTGTACAGTGAGCACTATGATGGGTGCATCCTCGAAGACGATGGGTCACCACTATCCTTCGAGTTTTTTAGTAATGCCTTAAACAGTTTTTAACCCAATTTTAGTAGTTTCTGCAATCTCCTTAGAGGTTTCCTCTGCTTGATGCCAATGATCTTACCCTTCTCAAACAGACTGACATCTTTTCCACGACCACAGGATGTGTCTTTCAACATGTTTTTTAAAGAAATGATAAGTAACTCATTGCACCAGTTGGGGTTAAATAAAATAACTTGTTGCAGCTGAAAGATAATCACTCATGCAGTAATTTTCCAATAGGAGGCTTGTACCTATTCGCCTAGTTAAATCCAGGTGGCGACTTATTATTATTATTATTTTTGGCCAGGCAGTGTTTTTACCTGGTGAAACAGGAAACCAAATTTTATGGATGGATGTAAAATACCTCCCCAAACTTTTACAATCGAATCATGTAAGGTGACAGTAAAATCCCAGCCCTTACATTATAAACCGACTTTAAAAAAAAAAKAAAAACTAGGGGGTGGAGGGAAGTTGTAAACCTGCCTTGGTGTATGATTTTTAAAGTAGAATGGAAAATGGAAATGAAAAATGAGTGCAAAATATGCATCGGATTACCAGTCTGTGTCTTATGTTAGAAGGTTCTAACAGCAAATGTGGAGAACATCTGGCCGTGAGAGGTGGCTAAACTGCACAGGTTGGAGATTTTTTTAACCTACATTTTAGATGTAACTAAAGGAAATATTTTGCCAAACTATCACAATATTCTAAGTTATTTTCTTACATTTTTGGGCTGAAGTAGAAAAATGGAGACAGATAATTATGTAAGTTTGGTCAAACRGTGAACCAAAACAAATTTAAGTTTTGTCAAACTGACCTTAGAAGTCAAAAGTAGCAAAAACAATAACTAAACAAATCAAAATGAATTGGCTTTAATATATTGCACGTTTCTGAGTGAATGATCAAATGCTGCAGATCTGAACAGACATTTAACCTGGTTTGACCTTTTACATTTCTTTGCAATATTTTTTTATCCTATCCAATTAAACAGAATGCACAAAAGAACTGACGTAGACCAAACACGCTCAGACTGATGAGGTGCGTCTTCAAACTGTGCAGGTCGGTGTAGCCAATAAATGGCCGTGAACCCAAGTTTCCACTTGAAAAATTGAACATCTGATTGTATCGTTGCCATGTTGAAAGGCTTTGCTGAACAGAGTTCCTCAGACGGACATGGAGATTCAAAACATGTGCCTCGTGTCAAAGCGAGGGAAGGACAAGCCTCGGGAGTCATCCTGCGGAAGTTATGTTGAATGTTTCACAGACTAATCTATTTGTGTTCCAAATAAAATCATTATAAAACATGTTGGACAGAAAAGCTCCTAATGCAAACACTGAAGGACGCTGAGGCTACATTTGTTTAAAATGGATAGAATTTCTTTGACTTCGCAGACCCTGAAAGCCCAAACAATTTAAATTGAGGGGATAGTCTCACTGAACCCCGCTATGTGACCTCAGCCTCAGGACATCATTCCCTCTTTTCAAACACTTGCTCTTAGCTCTATCCCTCTGTTTCAGGGCATTTCCTCCAGCAGCTACTGTTTGTCAAGATACGTTATGCGATGAATGGGAATGATAAAGAAACATGGRTGAATGACTGATCACATACCCACAGGTTCCTAGAAAAGAAATGTTTCTTCTTAGCACCAGATCGGTTTGTGGAAAATTAAGGCTATAAAGGAAAAAGGACAGACCTTACTCTGCTTAGTAGGCTATAAAACTGTAGAGAGTTTGGATTTATTTAAAGAGAAAGGCTAAAACAAAAGTGTGGAAAGCATCTTACCTCTGGTGTTGCAGGGTTGAAGGCTACGCTGAGAACAGTGTCTGAGTGTCTCAGTTTGTGGAGGTAGGAGCTGCTACGGATGTCATAAACATAGGCCTGAAGTCAACGACACGTGGACAAAAGCATGAGTTGCTCTTTTGCTGTTTTCTGCCAGGTTGCCACAGTTAAGGAACTCAATAGATTTAGCGAATGTTTTTCTTTCCAGATGCCCTTTTCGACAAGTAGGGGTCTCTGCAAGTACATGTTGCCTTGCGGACAGAGACAGCCCTACCCATGATTGGTGGAAGTTTTGATGTGGATGGAGTTGACCCTAATTATGATTGGCGAAGTTGGTGTGTGGGCGGAGTTTTCCCTAACCATAATTGGTTGGATTGACATGTCTTYTGGGCAACTTAAAAGAGGAAGTTATAATAGTAAATAAAAACATATATGCTTTATTGACTAGGTACAGTTTAAAACAGTACAATGACTCAATAAAAATGATTGTGAAAATGTAAACATAATTTGACTTAAAACTTCATGCGGCAAGCTTCTTCCTGTCTCAAATTATGACTAATATTCATATTCATCTTGATTTTTAGCAATCTTTTTTCAGGCTGGTTAGGGATGTTTTGACCGAGCCAAATTGTTAKACGTCCCTCCATATGCATGGCGTTCAAATTTCGTGCAGCTAGCACCTTCCTTTCTCAAGTTATGACTAAAATTAATCTTAAAATGTTGCTTCCTGCCCAACTAGACCAAGCTACTCCAGAGTAGGGCTGTCTCCGCCCACATCAAGACCTCCGCCAATCACAATTAGGGCCGTCTCTGCCCACATCAAGACCTCCGCTAATCATGAGTAGGGCCGTCTCCGCCCACAAGACAACATTTACTGCAGAGACCCCCTTCTCCTTTTTGATGTAACCTGGGCTTGAACCTGCAGCTTCAGTATTATGAGACTGTGGCACTGACCACTGAGCATGAGCTGTTACTGTTTAATAATATATGGATGGAAGGGACAATGGATATTGGGAGTTTAGAAAGCACAATGGTGTAAAAATGTTGTTTTTGTCAACCTATTTGAACATTTTATACATAAGTTCTGCTTGTTTCCAAACCACAATGGATCCTCCTTTTACACTCGATTTTAGGTGGATATAATTCTGCTTGTACAGACTTTTTTCTTTTGGTTGAAAATTATTTTTAAAAATATTTATAGACTGGTGTCCGTCTGTGTGCACCGTTTTGAGTTTCATCAATCTCGACCAGTCATTTTTAAAACAAACCCATTCGCTTTTGTGTCACGAGCCGAGATAAAAACAGATGGGGAGATGTTCTTTACCAGACAGCGACTCATGAGATTCTTGCAGCTGTTTTGTATTATATTTTTCTGAAAAAAAAAATGTATCAGGAGGTTTATGGGAAGAGTGATCTGAAAAACGAGGAAAAAAATACGTGGAAGAATCAAATCCAATCTTAAAATGGGTAAATATTACAGGTGAGGCCATATTTGTCAATTAATTTAAACAATAACTGAAGCGAAAGGTGATAAACTGTTAAAATGAAGTTACATGACATATGTTTTTTTCCAAAATATTGACAGATTTTTAAAAAAAAAATGTGTAAAATGAGGTGGGTAAGTGACACCTTTCTGATATATAAAAGATTAAATGATATTCCAGAAGAATTCCTTTTGGCTTATGTTTTTTTGGAAAAATGTAATACAATCTAGGGAGCCCTTTTTAAAGTGCTCACCTTCCTTTTTCCTCCATGATTGCTTTTTGATATATTAGGACAAGTATAAATGTGTATGGCTTACAGAAGTCTCATGGCAGCTACAAATAAATGCAATGGAGCGCACCACGTCTACGCTCCCTGCTTCCCTGAAAAGTTGGAAACGTCTGATTTCAACAGAGATGTTCTAAAGTCCACGCTGCGCTGCGTCCCAATTATTATTAATAACAAGCCAAATGCATTTATTATTCCTCTGCTTTCAACAAACACATAAACCATGGAAAAAGTGATGGATAGGAGAGGAGAGGCGGCCTTCTGAAAATGTTTTGAAAGGATGTGCGAGTGAGGAAAAGCATTTAAAAGAGTCAGATGTATAAGATGAATTTGAATTCTTTAATGTCCAGATGAAAAATGTTCGACAAAAAAAAATCGGCACTGAACTTTAACAAAAAGTGAAACTATGAAAGACACCAAACTGCTTGCCTGCCGCGTCGCACTTTCTTGAGATTAGGTTGTGTTTTAAGAGCAGCGTGAGCTGCTGTGATAAAGTTCAGCAGCAGGATATGAAGAAAAAAAAAAGTGCGGAGCCACAGAGAGGGCTGGCAAAAAGACAGGAAGCTCAAAGTCTGGGACCGAAAAAAGATCTGAGGAGAAAACGCAGAGGGAGTGAGGGGTGAGGAGACGTGTGGGAGATGTGCACGATATGAGGAGGTTGGACCTTGTAGACTTTGGACACCCCAGAGTAAAGCTGTCTGTGTAGCTCAGTGGTCAGCGTGTTCTTATAACCATGAGGCTGCAGGTTTGAGTGCAGCCTGGGTCAGAAAAGAAGCTTCTTTTGGTTCTTGATAATATTTGCAATTCCATATGTACTGGATCATAATACTTAACGTGATCATCAAACATTTATACTTTGTGGAGTTATAACTGCCTCAAAGGTCCTAATCTGCCAGCTAATCTGAAAATAATCTTAGTTTACGCCAAAAATGATTATGCTTAAGAGAAAATAAGAACAGGAGTGTAATAACTCACACATTTATCCTCAGAGCCACAGCCAATGAACCGACCACAGGGTGAGATGGCTGAAGAACACGGCTGGCAGCGATTCACGTGGTTTTCATAGCGACGTACACACCTGAAGAGATACACACAGTTTACACACTGATCTAATACAACCCAATGTGGATTAGCACGCTCATTGTTTGACTTTTCTAAAAAATGGCAACATAATCATTTGTTGGAATTAGCCGTGAATGTTGATTGCATAGCTTTTTGCCAAATCTAAATTTAAAGTAGACATATCATGCTTTTAAATCCTTCCTTTTCACACTTAAATCATTTAGTTGGGGTCTTTATGAAGTGGAACAACAATGCTTCGGTTTGAATTTATTCTTACTTTAACTATACCAGCCCCTCTTTCACCACTTGTCTGCTGTGTGCCTTAAATCAGCCGGATTTTATACTGTTCCTTTAAGACGCTTCAAGCCCCGCCCCCCTCCTGCTTCCAGACCAGTCTACTCCAGTTTGAGAGAGGGGGGTTACGTTTTCTAGCGATGCAGAAATGTTTCATTTCAAATTAAATTCAAAGATGTCAACAACAGAAGACTTGCCCATTTAGTCTTACATGTTGGAGCCAGAGTCTGACCCAGAACCAGAGAAGAATTAAGATGAGGAAATTGTAGTTGCTAAGTCCAGCCCTTATATGGTGTTCCTTCACAAATTATTTACATAATAGTTCAGAAAACCTCATAGAAAATAAAGAAAACTGAATGGACTACAAAATATGAACCAAGCAGAATCTAAAGATATCTTTGTAGCACCAGGAGAGACTAAATTCAACTTTTTCTGCACTCATAGAGCCTCCAAGTACACAACAAAATGTATTTAACAGCCAAAAAAGTGTTTTTTACATGACATGTCCCCTTAAGGTTAAACTGATATACAGTAAGCTATATAGCTTACTTAAGCTATTCCAGTTTTCCGTATTAATCTCCTAATTTATAATCAGTAAGAATGCACATAGTTTTCAAGTGACTTTTTACTGCTGGAATGTGTTTTTTTTTTTTACCGAACAGAAGATGAGTTGTACCGCAACAAACATCTAAAGCAGCTCAGGACAAGGAGCTGCTTGTCCTGAAATGAGACAGAGGGAGCAGTGAACAATAAATGTGGCCATGGGGCAGATTTTGTGCTGTGTCGTTTGGGTTAGCAGCAGCATGTAATGTCTTTCCAGTGCAGTCTACAGCGAGCTAAAGCCAAGGGTTTCTTTACAGAATGGCATGTTGGCTGCGCTCTGACAGGGTTTAGTGAGAACATGCCTTTGACATTCACATGTTTATGCTATTAAGCTAAAAGTAGGTCGTATTCACCGGTGACCTTAAAGAAATGGGATATACTCAGAAACAGCGAGCTTTAAAAATAGACTAAATTGGGGGGGCACAAGGAGAGCATGCTATTTTTCTATTTTAGCAAAATACTGTAGCTTTGTTAGACTAAAAAGCATATTTTCTCCTTTAAAATCAGTTATATCAGTATGTCTTCATCTATGAACAAAGCAATATGTCCTAATGATTCACACTACATATTTTGCATATAAATGGAAATGGGTCATGACTTACATCTGGTGTAGCCAGTCAGATGATAAATAGCACAAGATAAACTGCAGCGCTGACCACAGAGATTAGGAAAAAATGCAAAGGCCGTTCATAAAAGAAAAGAAAAAAAAAACATAATTTTATGTTTCCACATACTCCAAAAAAAAAAAGCTCACAGGATTTTCTAGGTCAAAATGGGGCGCAAATGTTTTGACTGAAAGAAGGAAAGATGCTTGCACGAGTCCCACAAAGACGCATTCTTCATGTTGCTTTAGTGATGACTGTGTGGAACTTTCATGATGACTTGCACAGACGGCTTCGGAGGCTCTAATCCTCCAAAGTGAGAGCCCGAATCCACCGAAGTACTAAGTGTCAGTCATTCGGGGAATCATGAGTGCGTGAGACAATTAAAAAAACATCACTTATTTGTTCAAAATGTGTAAACGTCTCATTTGTTTTGTCTGGTTTTTGAAATAATTTAATTAAAAATGATTGCTCATGCATTAAAAACTACAATAAATTATGTTTGTTTCAAGGAGACGTCATCCCTAAAATGTGTTTGTGTCTTCACTGCTTTGTATTTAGCATCCAAGTGATTTAACACAAGGAAAATGCTGGAGTGTAAATATTTTATCTGGAACATTCATGCAGAGTTTWAAACTAATATAGCCATTTTGATCAAACCTATTCAATAAAGTTATGCATGTAAGATGTCACAGAGTATGTTGTGAATGAATTTCCGCTCTTACCAAATTTAATTATTTAATTTATGTATCAAAGAGCACAAAATTTGTATTCAGTAGTTTAATAATTGCAGAAAACCACTTTTCCTCTAAAATCTTCTCTCACCATCACATTACCATAATAAGGCGAATGGAATTTTCTTGGAAATGATAAAATGATATTTAAAAAACACATCAGCAATAAAACTGACTGAACTACTCCCATTAGCTGCAAATCTCACAGAGAAAGAAAGAGAAACATTAATTTAGGAGTGCTGTAACTCCCTTCGTGGTTGGGACTCGCTAAGAAAAAATACCGCAGGAAGCGCTGACAAAATAATAATTAAAAAAAGGTTATTGTTTTTCATGCTTCCATGTGATTCAGCTCTGAGGATTTGAATTTGCTCAACAAATATCTCTTATAAAAACGATGCTGATGTAAAAACAAGCCACAAATATTATCAGATAGCAATAAAGTTCTGACGGAGGCTGGGATGAAGAGTTTGACGGGAAAACAGTCTCAGACATGAAAGAATGCAAAAATGTAATAAGCCCTTTTGTTAGGCCAAAAAGAACATTGTGAGATCCAAAAAAGGTCCAAATGAGTTATTTTTCTTAAGGACATCTGCAAAATGGAAGCAAATAAAAACGTCCTCCCTCAGTTCTAAACTTCAGAAACTGAATAGGAGCCAATTTAGTCAGCTAGGAAGAACTAGTTGTGTTAAAAAATGATTAGGTAACTGAAAAATATAACATTTAATTTTGTAATAAATAAAAAATACAAAAATTTTACAATTTAATTGGTGATTTGTTTGACATACATTAGTTCTATATGGTGCTATATATTTGTTATTAGAAAAGTTGAAAGTCTCTTAAAGAGATTACAGCAGCATTTAACAGGATTATATGGAAAAAAAAATGGCAAAAAAGTGGAATTTACGGTAATTATTTTGACAGTAAAGATAACATAAAATGTTTTATTCATACAAAACCTGAGTGAGCGAAGATCCCAGATCTTCAGTCCGTCTGTGACTGCACTGGTGAGGAACAGGTTATAGGACTCTGGAGTCTGTGCGCTGAATATGGATCCCTTTAAAATGCACGAAATAAACACATTTTTAACATCAATCTTTTTTTTTGATTAAATAAAGATTATAAAAACTAAATACCACATAGCAGTAGCATATATGACC